GAGTAAATCTTACATGCTTTACGTCCAAATCATTCAAAATTATCCACTTAATCACCAATTACATCGTTGTTACAAATCACATAACAACAAAAATCACTTCATAAAATAATCCGAGTACTCGCAAATCCTAGAATCTCAAAGAAATTTAGCTACTAAACATATTCTTAATACTCAAAATAAATAAATCCATGAGTTCAATGAAGAAGAAAAAGAGAAAAGAAAGAAGAACTATTGTCGCTGTTAGTTCTCGGATCTTCAATCTTGACTTCCTCGAATTCCTCGTGTGTTTCGTGCTTTCTCTAGGCCTTCAATGGTGTCAAAAGTCTCAAAACCGTGTTCATTATGTTTCTTATATACTGTAGGGCAAATATGGGTCGAAAAAGGGATCAAAATCGCGTAGGAATCCTATTTCTCGCTGGTCACTCTGCGCGTCACACGACCCGTGTCACATGTCACACGAGTCGTGTGACTTTCCTCGAACTTTCGGCCAACTTCCAGACTCACACGACTGGTCACACGACCGAGTCACATGACCCGTGTGAGGTCACACGACCCGTGTCACTTGACACACGATTCGTGTGACAAAGCCGAAGCAAAATTCCTCAATTTCGTCATTTTTTCAACCCACACGACTCGTTTCACCTATTCACACGAGTCGTGTGACCTGCCTGCACCTTGTTTTTGCCGTTTTTCGTCCCAATTCCATCTTTAACGCTTTTTCGGGCATATTTCCTGCAAAACCAACGACAAATGTACCTCTATCATAGATTAATAAATCAAATAAAATGGTGCACAATCCCACGATAAACACGGTTAAACATCACAGTATATCACTCATAATGCATGAAAATATGATGAATGTCAACTCCCCCAAACTTAAACCCTTGTTCGTCCCCGAACAAGAATAAGAAAATCAAAATTCAAGCATAATGAGTGATATCAAACTAGAACAGTTTCAAGTTCTTCAATGCAACCAAGAAAACTTCAAACGATCATAATTATCATGCTTTTGACTACTATCTTGTGTCTACCTTGAATCAACAAACTCTCAAATAGGAATATATAAGGGCCTCACTCACATGTCATCAATATATAAAAGAAAAGGATACGCTCAAGTCAAATTAAACACCCAGTTAACTATATGTTTGCCAACCATCTAACACCCTACTTCAAACACAATTAGTAATCATGAGTTTTTAAATCAAAAGGTCTTCTCGGGTTGTAACGTAGGCTATTTGGTCAAGGGTAAGATATATATATGGGTGAAGTGGCTCAATAAACAATCAAACCATTCGAGTAAATAGACTACTCGACTACTCCGCTACTCATCCCTAATCAACATAAAGTGTTTCTCATCCCCAAACCAAAATAATCCATACACAAATCATAAATGCTCAAATCAAAATGCAAACGAAGTACTTGACCTTTTATTTATTTATTTATTTTTTTTTTTGAGAGAGTTCAATTTTTTTTTCCAAACAAGAACAAACCGTAAGGACGAGATTCTCTAGATATAAACATTAGAGGTCATCCAAGTATTCTAGAGTAGTTTCCCATACTCATTACCAGTCAAAATAAATCAACTAGTAAGAGGAGTAGAATCCGGACAGTTCGACTTGCGAGCTCCCTTTATTATCATTTTTTTCTTTTTCTTTTTTTTTTCAATATTTTTTTCGGTCAAGCACCTTAAATGCAACATCGATTACACTGCATTCCATATCCAATCATTCAATAAATAACACCGTTATCCCCATCCATCCCAAACAATAATCAACTCTCAAAATAAATAAGATAATCCGGTTGACAAAAAAAGGCTGAAGGCTCAAACGGTATACTAGTGAAAAAATATTTTTAAGGACAAAGAACAAGGCCAAACAAGCTAATTCAAAAACCGCCTAAATCATTTTTAAAGCTCATAATCACCAATACATTTTTTCAAGTAAGAATCAAGGCAAATTCTAATAACTCGGGTATCCAATTGACACACACAGACAAAGAATAAAGGCTCAAGTCTCACTAGGCTCAATATATCGCTGATTCAAGGCTCATAAGCATTTTCATCTAGGCACGACAAATTACAACCCCATCACAATTTCTCAATCATATCAAATCACCATCACCATTCAAGTTTTATCCACCATTCAGCCAAAGCAAAAGAAATACACAAGGAACCGACTCAAGCAAATTATTACTATATCCTCATAAAGCAAGTAAACGTGCAACCTAAAAATAAAAATAGCCTAAAAAAAATAAAAAAAAATCATAAAAGTAAAAAGTAATGCAAGCAACTATATGATATGCAATAAAGCGATAAAAAACTCAAGATATACGACACTTCTCTCCCTCAAACTTATTCTTTGGAAAAGAATTAAGTTTAAGAAAAATAAATAGTATATCTCAAGTAACTAACCGAATAGTCGAGCGAGCTCCACCGTAAGCAATCCTTGCACCCTTTAGCACGATCATCTTCTCCATGCTTCGCTCGAACACTCGATCACCACCATTTTTTTTCTTTTTTTTTTTCTTTTTTTCAGATTCTTTTTAAATGAAAATAAAATAAAAAATAAAAATAAAAATAAAAGTGATAAAAGATGGGTTGCCTCCCACCAAGCGCTTAATGTAACGTCTTTAGCTAGACGTCTCTCGAGTTCTTAATATGGGTCGTTTCCATTCATTCCGACCAACTCCTTCACCATATTCCGACCCCGGGGTTCCTCATCTTTCTTTTTCTTTTTCTTCGGCCCTCGATCAATGAAAAATGTATAACGCTCATCAAACGCCCGGAAAGTGAGCTCTTCACGCTCGATGTCTATCAATACTCGTCCGGTTGCTAGAAACGGTCGCCCCAAAATTAGCGGAACATCATCGTCGTCCTCCATGTCTAGCACAACAAAATCCGCCGGATATATGAAATCACCGACTTTAACCATGATATCCTCTAAAATCCCTCTTGGGTAGGACAATGATCTATCCGCCATTTGTAGTGCAATAGTCGTGGGCCTAAATTTTCCCGTCTCCAACTTCAACTTCTCGAACATCGACAACGGCATCACATTCACACTAGCCCTCAAGTCGCACAAGGTCTTCTCAACATGGAAACCTCCAAAAGAACACTCAATAGTAAAGCTCCCGGGATCCTTGCATTTGAGGGGCAACTTCTTTTGAATTTTTGCACTACTCTCTTCAGTCATGGCCACAACCTCGTACGCCTTGAAAGGTCTCTCGACTTTTTCAACCATAGAGGGCTCAACTTCTTTCACTTTACCCTTTGGCGGCTCCTTAACTTCATCCCTTTCCTCTTGAATATGGACTACATTGCATTGCTCCTTTGGATTCACCTCGGTATTGCTTGGAAATTGTCCTCTCTGCTGTAGACCTCCAACTGTTATGGCCAATTGCCCAATTTGCTGTTCTATTGACTTCATTTGCTTCTCTAAGGTAGAGTGCTTAGTCTGAGATTCGCCCATGAATTGTTGCGTTTGAGTCATAAATATTTGGGTGGTAGCTGCTAATGAGGAGAGCACATCTTCGAGTGCTGGTTTTTTCGGTTCGTTGATGACCCCGTTGGTCACCGAAAATCCAGGAGGTGGTTGTATAGCATTATTCGGATTTGCATACGATAAACTGGGGTGATTCCGGTTGCCTTGGTAATAAGTGTTCCCCGCTTGAGGTCCTCGAAAATTCCCAAAATTCCGGTTATTCACATAATTCACGTCCTCGACCGGTTCTCCAACTCCTAAGTTCTCAGTCTTTCCCCCTTGTATGTTGTTTATCACCAATGCTGCTATTTGAGTCGCCATCGAAGCGGCTGAGTCCGCCTCATTCGTAGCCGCCACTCTCTTAAGCATAGTCCTCTCAACCGGCCATTGATAGCTATTCGACGCCATCTCCTCAAGAATTCACTTTGCGTCGTTTGGTCGCCTTCCCAAAAGGGCACCTCCAGCTGAGGCGTCCACCATAGTCTTCATCGGGCCACTCAATCCATTGTAGAAATAGCAAATTTGGTGCTCCTCCGAAAATCCATGCTGTGGGCACGTCCGAAGGAGTTGCGTGTAACGCTCCCAGGCCTCGTATAAAGGCTCACCATCTTGTTGCTTGAATTGAGTGATCTCCGTCTGAAGTCTCAACATCTTGCTCGGTAGGAAGAACTTTAAGAGAAATTTCTGACGCATCTCATCCCATGATGTCACTGTGCCGGCCTCAAGAGAATTGTACCACACCTTGGCTTTATCTCTAAAAGAGAAAGAGAAAAGCCTAAGCTGGATAGCGTCCTCTGGGACTCCATTGTACTTCACCGTACCACATATCTCTAGAAATTGCGCCAGATGCGCATTTGGGTCCTCGATTGCAGCTCTTCTAAACTGCTCTTGTTGCACCATTCGAATCAAGGACGGGCTCAACTCAAAAGTATTAGCCGCAATTCTCGGCCCATGACCTCCTCCGTATACTTGGTCCGCATGAGGTTGGAAGATTTTCCGAACTGGTGTTCCTGTCTCTTGTTGAGCCTGCTGTGCAGCTAGTTGGAGTTGTAGCTACACTAGTTGTGCCTCGAGCTGTTTATACCTCTCTTCACCTTGTTCCTCCATTGCACTTCTCAGTCGTTGTTGTAGTCTTCGATTTGTGTTGTTCCTTCGACAACTAGCTTTCAATCTCGGAGTCAAATTTCGCGGGCGAATTCCCACTAGACCTCGTAATCATGCACGTGCCTGTCAAAATACACAAACAAAAAACGATGCAATTAAGAACCAAAGTATTAAATAAAAATAAAAAAG